GTCATATCTCGAAAAATGACAATTTTCAGTTATTCAGTTGGAAAAGATGGATTTTGGCGTGTACTTTTATCTGGTGATGAATAACTCAAAATTGTCAATTTTCGAGATATGACACTGTTGCAGCAATACCGCGATATGTAGGTATACGTGATGCGGTAGTAAATGTATTAGAATTTATGCGACTTCGTAGGATAAATATGACTACGAAATATTGATCTTCCATTTATGTATTATGCATACTTTTATAATGAATTTTTTAAAAAAGAAAGAGGGGAGAGAGAGAGAGAGAGAGAGAAGAACAGAGTGTATTTATGTCAGTTTTATTTAGTATTAATATATTCTTTTATATATTTGGAGTAAACTGCTTAGCGAAAATTTCATAGAAGAGGATTTATTTATTCAGTTATTTTGTGACATTTTGACTTAAAAGCTGTTGAAAAAGATTTTAATAATTAACGTTTTTTCCTTATTTTGCATTTTATTTTCAGGTAAAATTCCTTTTATAATAGAAACTTAATGCTAATTTCTAATTTTATATTGACTTGGTGCATAATTAATCAAAATTAAAAGATTTTGGCCGACAAAATTTAAAATTTATTATGAAATTTTGATTTCTGAATCATTAAATAATCAAAATTAAATATAACAACAGTATTTTGTATAAATAAATTTTAAATAATAACTTTTTGCTACGTATTTTAGCGACATAAACATTTCAGAGTTTTTTTTTTTTTCCTTCAGAAAATGCTATGACGCAAGTTACTCTCATTTTCTAATCGTGACTTCTAATTTTTTTAATATCAACATATTTTACTAAGAACACACTACGAGTCTTTAAAATTCAGGAACTATCATTTGATATCTATTAATATCTATTAATATTCTTAGTACGATCAACAAAATTCCTCGACGGTTACATCCTCACTAGATTTACGTAATCTTATATAGAATACATAGAATAATACATACATTCAATTTCGAACATGAAAGAAGGAAATCACTTTGCCTTTCACATTTTATCGGCATGCGTATGTTACTTAATATTACACTTAATTTTGCGAATCAAATAAATTGAAGCGAACGAACGTGAGCGCGCGTTTCTATTTTCGTCGTGTAGCGTGACATAAAGAAAAATTCACTGGCATAGACCAATCGCAGAAATTTGTAAACTCGACGCCGAGGCTGAGGAGTGTTTATATACACGTTAGAAACTGACATAAACACTCGTCAGGTTAAGTAACGACGCGATTTAATTATGCAAGAATTGCATCCGACACACCCATTTATTATTAATCATCTTGATGACATAATTTTGATAAAAGTGCTGTCACGGAAAAAATTCTACTGCATGACGTCGGTGATTTTTTTTTCATTCTTATCATTCTTCCTTAATCCTTTTAATTTAAAATAAGAACTTTCCAATCGATAGATTCGATTAATCAGAGTAAAGTTGACGAACAAAGAACATTTACAAAATTGTTTCCCTTGATTTTGAAATATTTTTATTTCTCCCTGTAAAATTACGTTATTGGAGAGCAATTGTCACGAAATTCTTTGAATAAAACAACACTTAAGTGTCGGAGCAGTTAATAGCGATTGTTGTCGATGTTAATAATGCATTAATTCGGCTCGTATAAAAGTCAGCCGCGTGGAACGAGGGGTGCCGGTAAACAAGCGGCGACAAAAAGAGGTCAAATTAAATACTCGGCAAGATTTAAGTCAATGAAATACAATTGCTATCACGGCGTTTAACGCTTCGACTGCAACATTAATGCATTTGGGTTTTTGTAGGCTAAAACACTTTGTAAACATTGAAACCTAAGACGTAACTTCAATTGATCTCGACGCATTAAACTGGTCTCTCTATATTTATTCGTGACTAACGATAGATTATAGTTGATGCGATTGAATCAATCATCGGATTCAATCTCTGTACGAGGTTCAAATTTCGATGCTGCAAACACGCGGAAATATTATTCAACAGTCAGTTAGTGATATACATATATGTGTTTTTCTAGTTACTATAGTATTTATCATATAATTTGAAAATTGAAGCGATCATTTTTATTTAATGCACGCACTCGGAGGAAATATTTTTTCCTGGCGCTATCGACTCCTCTTTCAGCGCGAGTAATCGCTTTTTTAATATAATTATCACGGTATTGTGACGTAAAGCTTTGAACTTCGATATTTAAACGATATAGGTATAATATAGGTGCGTGCGTAGAAATAACAATATTATTCCGGAGGTACTGTAATATTTTTTTATTAAACCCTATTAATTATTAATAATATCAATTAATCTCTCAAAGGGAATGACACGCTTATCCTACACTGAGAGAAAAATTTTTGGTATTCGTAACTATAATTACACACACAAAGTACTATAATTATGATTATTACTACTATAATGTAATAATAATTATATATATAGTTTTATCAACAATATACATATATATATACATAGTTGATATCAAAGCTTACATTATAGTTATTATTACCATAAAAATGATTGCAATTATCATAAAAATGGTTGCGATTATCATTATTTAATTATAATTTATAGTCATTTTTGGAGCCCAACTATATTTTATATGGTTGGCTCTGAAAATTACTATAAATTATAGTTAAATAATGATAATATTTATAGTTACAAATACCAAACATTTTTCTCTCAGTGTACAAATTGAATTCTTAATATGAGACCGTTCTTATTAAAAGAGTTTGAAAATGGCTTTTCTTTGCTAAGATTTTTGAATCTCAATATACAGTTAACTCAAAATAATTTTTTTTCGCATACCAAGACACCAATTTCTTGTTCTACACGGAAAGAATGGTTTTGCTATAAAAGTATCTAAAAACTTAGCTAAAAACAGATCTAAAAATAATTTTGTTGGGCCATGAACACAATTACGTAGAATACTCAAACTGGTTGTTAGAATGTAAATCTTTTTTTACAGCATTATTAGTGAGTGTTCTATATTATTATTTTGATGGTCCAATAAAATTATTTTCAGACCTGAGTCTAGCTAAATTTTTAGTATATGAGCAAAACCGTTTTTCCGTGTATTAACATAATAAGTCGAAATAATATGAAGAAAAGTGACCTGAAATCGGCATAACTTATTTAACCGTATACACGCGTTAATTTTGAAATCTACACGGAGAGAATTATATTTTAAAATTTACCCTGAAAATCGTAGAACAACATAGTATATTTCGACGAATTTTATGTGATTTTTATTATTATTTTTTTAAATATACTACAACAAATTTATTAAAGTGCACAGTAAAAAACAGAGAAAATTATATAAAATTTGTCGAATAACTATGTTGTCCTATGATTTTCAGGGTAAATTTTAAAAGAAAATTCTCTCCGTGTACCATTAATAATTTATATCGTCCATTAGGACGCCTCGTGCCTGATTACATGCCTGTCGCGAGATAATTCTTGGTTCGCGATACTAACTGGATCCTCGTCAGTCCGCAATCGTTGCCGCTCTACGCTACAATCCATCGCGTGCTCTCGCTATGATAAGCGACACGCGAGAAATACAGAGTGAGGGAGAGAGAGAGAGAGAGATTCCAGTTTTCTCGCGACCGGTGTACCGTTGCTTTCCACGCTCAACTGACACGGCCGTGGCTTTTCGACCAATACTCCGAACGAACACGGCCTTACGAGAGAGCAACGTGTGCCAGTCGACACTCGCGAGCGTAACGCGTACACCGCGCGCACCGCGGAGAGTGCTTGCCGTGCTTCTTTTCCGCTCCTCCTCGTTCTAGCGGTTCTTTTACCGCGAGTGCTAACGGGAATTCCCGTCGGACTCTTCCCGACTTCTGGACCCGGGGGGCGAGATTCACGGATTTTTCCCGACTCTCCCCTCCTCGGTTTTACGCAATTTTACAATTGAAGTTAACGTTACCGCGCGCACGGTGGAGTATATAGTCCTCGGCGGTGATTTCGGATTTCTGTACTATAAATATCGAGAAGAATGATATCTGTGATGTTTATTCGTGATAATGGAAACGCGACGGACGCCGCGCAGAGTACAGTTCCGCGTGTAACGTCGGATAGTAAAATTCGCATCGAGATGTCGAAAACCTCGTTAGTTTTAGCCTCGATGTATTCGGTATAGGAAGAACTGTACCGGTGCTCACGAAACTCATTTCGCATTCCGAGTGCGTAGCGAGTTACTGCGACCCGTTCTTCGTGGCCGGCCTACCTTTGTGAACATGGAAACCCGTCGACGTATTGACACCGGTACCTGTAAGTTCTTTGAAAAATTGACGTACAAAGTGATTTTACCTTGCGAAAACGCTTACTTAGTTTCGTAATTATAGTCTTTCATTTTTTTTCTTAAATTAGCATTATAATTTTACTTTATTATTTTGCTTGACTTATTCATTGTTTCTAATTAACGTTATAATTATACTTTATCATTTTGCTTGGTTTATCACAAAATGAGCTCAATTTGTTTAATTACCCCTAAAAATTATTTGTATTTATATACATGACGTACAAGATGCGCTCGTCAAAAAGTTTTCCGTTGAAGAAAAAGATTATTCGTGACCGTGAAATACTTACTATCTCACCGTTATCTTTTGCGTTTACCTTGCATTGTTTCTACGCATGAAACAAAGTACGTGTGTAATATGTTTGGTTATCGAATGCCTTGCTACTTTTTCTTTAAGATATCGATGTAGTAACGTTCGGTAACTGGCGAAGGTAAAGTCGAGAAGCTTTAGTCATGACTATGAGGCACAGTGACTTGCGAAAGACTCGTCAATTGGAATTTGTTACTTGCTTCTTTTCTCACTCGGGTTCGCCGTTGAAACAAATTTTCGCCGGATTTCCCTCGCGTTACCGACCTCGAGATAAATCAAAACAGAGACCGCGAGTGTAGGTTCTCGGAAGTGCGCACGTGTGCGCGAAACAGACTTTTCAGTCACAACACAGCGTCTGTAATCGCTCGTAAGTCGCGCAATAACAGGATACCGCGAATAATAGGCTGCCAACGTAACATAATGTAGCGTCGTGCCCGCGACTCGTCTTCGGCCGACAAGTTAGAGCTCCCGAAAACCGGGCATTCTTGGGTCAAAATGATGAAGAATGTCTCTGGGACACGTCGATTAAATCGCGCGCGAAGAAAGACATACGTACAAATGACGGCTTTAATTAAGATTCTAGGACAACATCGTCGCTTGGCTGCGATAAATATCAAGCATTTATAATGAAAGCGAGATAGCGATTCCCATCTCGCACATTTCCTGAATTGCAACCACGCTGGTATTATTATTTATTTTTCCGATCACTCGAGAATATGCATCGCATTGCCGTTATATTTCTTGTATACGGAATTATTTTGAGAACGTGGTGGACGAAAATAGAAAACGTTTCAATTAATTAATTTCGTCACGATAAATGATGTGCATAGAGGAAAGAAAACAGTTAATTTACATTGGTAATTAGTGACTAAATACATAAATATTTTCTGATAAGTGTCTGTTGATAAAAGTAAATTCTAATTCAAGGATAAGAGACTGTACTTTGTAGACATACTTGTGACTGCAGTACATACGGAAAGAACATATACACGATTTTGCTGGATTCAGATCTGAAAATAATCCTTGTTGAACAATCAAAATAATTTTGTTGGAAAGTCAAATTGATTGCTAGAATATCAAAACGTTTTAGAGCAATGCTTATCATTTTTAACTTCCGACAAAATTATTTTGATGGTTCAACAAGAATTATTTTCAGATCTGTATCCAGCAAAATTTTTAGATCTAGCAAAATCATTCTTTTCAAATACTTGTAGAGAATGTATAGATATACTTTTTACGTCATCCTATTTTCCGCGAAAGAAAGAACGTTGGCCTGTGGGCCAAACATCTTTTAACAATTTTGCATCACAAGAGAGTCATAATGGTGACACTTTGTGTGAGTCATCGCCGCGTTCGAAAGAATCAACAGAATTTAATAACGTTCGACCTTTTTCGCTGCAGGTCCCGTTATCTCGCGCGGGAAGTATCTCACGACGACGCGGTTTGTTGATTCGGGCTTCGACGGGTTTTCACAGAAAACATCGGGCCACGTAGTATCTACGAAATTTATTTATAATCCATCGTTTATAATCCAACCGTAGATCATTTGGAAGTCGAGACGACACACTGATCGCGATCGTTTCATCCACCGTCTGTTTTAAGTAATAACATTTGACGCTTTTCCCTATTAAAGATACATAAAGTAACGCTCCAGTAAAGTATTCAAAATATTTTATTCAAAGGAAATATATACGGAGGATGTAATCCCGGTTATAAATGGTCACTCCTCTTTATTTCTCATCGTTAGAAAATACAAATTAATGAAGTTCAATTTTATACTTCGAATCGACGAACTCCATTGCGATCATAAACTTGATCCATTCGAACCATCGCAAATGCGTACGAGGCGTTAAATTTAAGTTAAGATTAAGATTAAGTTTTAATCATCTTGCCACAGTCCTTTCTAGTTTAAAAAGTAAAAGGGAGTTATTTCAAAGGCGCGAGATGTCCAAAGTGGGACGCCCCGTAATCAGAGACGTTTCTTAATTGTAAGGAGTCCATCTCGGCCTCTCGTTCGTTACGAACGTTAAACGAGGTGTTAAATAGATCAGACCGACCGCGCTAACTGTAACTAGGCTACCGGGGGGATGCCCCGACCCTGACTATACCGCGCGGCAAACGAACGCACCGTCTTCACGGCGCAGAGTAGGCGACCGCATCCTGGACGGTTGCCATCGAGAGATCTAAATAGAACTCTACCCGCCGTCCTCCGGCGGCGGGACGACCACTTTGCGGCCGTCCCAATAGATTCCGTTTCGTCGACCATTACGCGCGAGAAGTGCGTACATCTTATTAATCGATGGATGAATAACGCTCCTAACATATAACATGGGCGCATCCCCCGTCTTAGTCGCAGAATATCTAGGCTGTGGAACGTTTAAATTACCTTATTCTAGTACATAAAAGTGGAGCGCTGTATATCTGCCAAGTGTATACGTTACAATTGTAAATGAAATTATTTAGTTAAAATAATAATTAATATATCTTGACAGCATGCGAGATACTTTTTTATATACGGATCCCAAATACATATTTTTTTCATTTAACGGTTTTAATATGTCAAAAACATGTCGAAATATTGGGTGGATCCATATATTCGTTTGGTTTTTGAAGGCTGAAATGAAACAAGTTTTTTTCATACAAAGGATGAATTTTAATCAATGATATATTTTCCGTTTTTGTTGATGGCAAGAGGTCATCAACAAAAACGAAGAATATATCATTG